AGATAGGACTTGCAACACATAGTAAGAAAATAAAACCAAGCTGAAAAAGCTGGGGCTTGCTTGTGTACTCAGACCATTATGGCAACAGCAAGACTACCCAAATTTAACTGGCTTTTGGAAGTATGAAGGTCCTTATTTCTTTAATGGGTATTTTCCTGGTAAGTGGGAAGACAGTATAAAATGGCATGTATGTGCTGTTTTGAAGGTGTGAGCGAGGATTGCCTTCCTCGACTATTCATAATTGATGAGATTCCATTAAGATTTAATGATTCTTTCAAAAGTAACTTTAGTTTCTTTTGCCTTTTTATTTTTTGTTGGCTTTTAGCAATTTGGGGGTTATATTTTTACACTGATCTTTGAAAATTGGAGGATTCCTCCTCCCCCTCACCCCTCAACTGAGCTAATGTCATTAAATTATGGTTTTGGCATAATTATGTCAATTGACCCTTTCCATATAGTAAGAAAACTGGAAAACTAATTTATGGTGTTCACTGGGTAACATGACAACTCTTCCGAAGATCACTGGAAAGGCTTGATGACAAGTCTACAGCGTATTTTGGGGGGGGAAGTTCTGTTTTCTGCAAAATGTTATCTTTGAAATATTTGAGATTTGGAAAACACAGTTAACAAGAATTGTGTTTGTTTCCCTACAGTTATAAACCTCATTGTACAAGTCTTTCTGGGAAAACCTTTGATCAGGAAGTGGAGAATATACTGATACATTTTTTACAAGGTTTGAAATAGCTTTTTTTTGCATGTAAATACAGCAGACTAATATCATAGAATCATAGAATCGTCTAGGTTGGAAGAGACCCTTGGGATCATCGAGTCAAACCATCTACCCTACTCTACAAAGTTCTCCCATGTCCCCCAACACCACATCTAAACGGCTCTTAAACACATCCAGGGATGGTGACTCAACCATCTCCCTGGGCAGCCTATTCCAATGCCCGACCACTCTTTCTGTGTAAAATTCCTCCTAATGTTCAATCTAAACCTACCCTGTTGGAGCCTGAATATCTTAATATTGAAAACACTGTATTTCTGTGTGTCAATTTTTATCCATCATTTTTGTGGTTTACGTGTTAAAGCCTGCACATTAAAGCATTCTGACTGTGTGTGACTGAGAAGTAGAAGTTACTGGTTAAAAGTTAGAAACACAGAAGTAATAGCCACCAGTGAAAAATACAAACTTTCTTAAGCTGCCTACTGACAGGTATTGATATAACAAAGTTGTAAGTACTGGTGACTGGTGACATCCCAGTGGGAAGATACAGACATGTAAAGGTATGTGCTGAATCATTTTAAATCTGCAGTAGATCAAAACAAGGCAGGTATGAAATGCCATTGCAGTATTGCAAAGCTGAAAGAAGCTGACATTTTTGACAACAGCTGCCACTGCTGTATTAGTGTTACTTCTGAATGTCACTCATTCATCATTTGAAGAGTGAATGACCTACTTGGAAAATCAAAGTAACCTGCTCTTGTCCTTTGGGAAGTAATGCCACTTTTTTCCCAACTGAGTTACCACCAATTAGTAGATGGCATAGGAAACTACGGCACACAGATTTTGCCCTAGGCTGCAGAACAGGAGGAAAATGTAGAGGATAACTGTGTTTCATGGTACCTTGGCACATATGACCATTTCTTTAGGGTTTAGAGGACAGGGTTCCATTTAGATATGATTGGCTTGTGAAGGGCTAACTAGAGAGAGAAACTGTGTATCTTTTCAGAGGATTTTTCAGGATGTAGGATCCAGAATGTTAAAGATGAGGAAATAAGGAATAGGGAAGACTGTAACCTACTGTTCTTACAGTGAGAAATATTCCCCTGGAGTGTCCTCTTAAGAGGACTATTTTAACAGGTGTAACCAAAAGTGTCAGGCTTTGTATAAGCCAGGCTTTCAATGGCTGGCAGAGCTCAGCTGGTGTCTAAATGAGAGCACACATTTGATTGTTTGTATTCCAAAGGGAACTTGACACTGAGCTCTGAGTGCCACAGTGAGCTTCAACAGCCTATTCAGGAGGAGTAAACCTGGAAATAAATGCTCTGACACAAACCAGAATCAATGCAAAATCTGGATTTACTAATTTCTAGTTTCTGTTTTAAATACAAAATCATGAACACACACCACCACCACCCACAACCCTCCCCCTGGAAAGGGTTGCAGAGGAATCCTCTTTACTGGGTGCAAATTACCTTGGTAGTGTTGGTTCTGCTTTTTTTGTTGCTCCTTACTAATATCAAGAGTCACAGAAGGAACAGCTGACCTAATTTTGCACCAATGATTTTGCAGTTTTTATCACAAAATTGAAAAAAAGATGCGTAACTACTTATTTTAAATGCAGCAGAAAAGACATATAAAGGTAAATAGAACTAGAATCTGTGTTTCTTATTCCCACTGTCGTGCAATTTCTCCAGTCTAAGGTTTAAATTACCTTTGCTCAAATTGTCAGAAGTTTGTTTACTGCTATTTACAAATCAAAAGGAAGATAGTAGGGTTCATAGGGCAGTTGGATCCTTTATGGTCTAACAATTCTTACTGGTTTTGAACCTCCATAGACAGCATAAGATCTGTCCGAGTTTCACGGCATAAGAACAAAGCCTGGATGTTTCCATTTGTGGTCCTTTTCCTGCTGTAGCATTGCGGGCTGTTGCTGTTGGACAGACTTTGGTTATGAAGGGAATGGTACAGCAGTTCCCTGTAACCTTTTTGTTGCTAACAATCTCATCCGTGATGGTGAATGGAAATGTTGCCAGACAATCAAATCCAGCTTTAGTACTTCAAAAGTGGAACCACACATGCAAGTGGTGGTGAAATTGAATAGCCTTGGAATTTTCTATTTCGGTGTGCAGGAGAAAAACACAGGTTTTGTACTTTGTACTTGCTGAGGCGCAAAGGACTGAGCGCCTTCTCATCTTGTAATGTCCACAGAAAAATTAGTTGGAGAAATCAGTGCAACAACATTAGAGGAGACAATATGAAATAATAGAAAATAGTTGCTTAATCTAGTGTCAAACTGTCTTAGACAGGATCAACTCTATCTGACTGGAAACCCCACTTTCCAGAGGCTTACTGTCCTCTTCAGGTTACTAACAGTGATTCTTGGAGGTAATGATCAAGAAGGGAGGGTGTCATCCATCATCCCACATTGTCTGTGTTTAAACCTTCTGGTTGCTGTAAGAAGAATATTGAGCTCCTTTCTTTTTTGGCTGTGAGATTCAATTCTAGCATACTTGAAATTGTAAGTAGACAATGAGTGGAGAGGAGAGCTGTCCACAAATCAGATTCTTTCTAGTTTAAATGCTATTTATTCCAAACAAAGTATCTGAAAAGCAGCTGAAATTTTGAAAGCGTTTGCGAGGAGGAGATAACAGTGGTATTTTTTTCCCCCCAAATATCGAAAGCTTTCCAGTAGGGGATAAAAAAGAAGAGGCATCTATTAAAATATTTTATGGAGTTCCTGGGGTTGAGGTTCCTCAGAATAGTTGAGGAAGAGAGTCCTGTGCCAGATTGGATTGGATTTTGGAAGTTTACATCTTTATATCTTGAGTCCCCATTTCCCAGTTCTGTGAAAATTTAAGACATTTTTACAATTGCAGTTAACTCATTGGTAGCTGGGCAACCCTGAAACTGGAAGTGGGCTCCCATGAACCCATGAGGGAACCTTCTAGGCAGGTCTTTGAAATCTCTGAGAACCAACTTCCACAAATGCATTGCTTTCACAGACCTCTTTTTCTCACTAGCTGGAGGGGAGAGAGAAAAACCCTGAAAATATTCTGTACTTAAAGTGAAAATCTGGGCTGGGGAGGGAGAGAGGGGGTTCCCCTTTTGAAACCAAGAGCTAAAGCTTAGTGCCTTTCCGCTGCTTTTAACAAAATGTCTTACATTGCATTTAATGCCATTAATGCAACTAAAAGAAATCTTAAGAATTCTTAAAGTGTGTGACAAAACCCAGAATAGTTGTGATGTGGACTATGCATTTGTTTTTATTTGTTAGATAAATACTTTTTTAAGAGTTAAATTTGTAATTAATAGTTAATGTTGTAATTTGTTAGCTAAATATTGTAGCTAATAATAGTTGTGTATTAAACTTTTATCCAGCATCCTAGATATTTAATGTTTTAGTATTTTTTTAATCGTGGGCTTTTGAACACTAGAGTAGTCAAAAGGTTAAAGAATATTTTCATTAATTCACCACAGACCCTGGCAGTTCTTACGTTAGTAGCTACATGAAAGCATTAGCTAGGAGTTGCCCTTTTACAGTGAAGTGGTAGTCACTAAAGGCTTTGTGATCAATGGTAATTTCTGCTTTGATAACCAAACTGATGAAATGGTGATTTGATCAAACTAGCAAAGCAAAGCTCTAACATATTTCTTTTATTATGATTATTCTATTGAAAAAAATAGTGTGTATTTTCTTTCAAGAAATATGTTGCATTTAATAAAATTTAAAATATAGCTAGAGCACAAGACTTCAATGGTGAATATCCTATACAATTCTTTATCAAGTAGCTTTGGATGTGGTGATGATGGTGTTTTGCATTTACCAAAATAATTGTCTTGAAATAATACAGAAAGGTTTTCTATTACTTAGACTACAGAGGTTTAGTTGTATTGCCAAATCGAAATGAGAAACAGTTGTTAAGCGGTAAGCAGCATTTAAAAATTGCTGGCCCTTTGTACCCGTGTTTACATTTAATGCTCAGACTGAATTTTCTGATGCATTATGGTAATAAAAAATGCACTGCATTTCCTCTAATAGTGGTAGCCTTTGACCCTCTTGGCATCAAGAGATAATAACAAGCAAAGTAGGTAAACAACATATGCTTGCTGCATTGTTAGGCTTGAAATTGGCATCTAGTAGTGAAGGAAAAAGTATTCCAAAGCAGGATTGTCCCTGCCTTAAGATTTTATGCTATTCAGTGGCTCACAGGAGTTGAATACCTCAGTTGGTGTTCCGTTTGAAAAAGTTTTCTCTTTCCTCTTTCCTCCACAGGAGGACAAAGCAAACCAGGGACGCCTTGTCTTGGAATCATACCATCAACAAGCTGAAATACAAATTGAAAGGAGATGGCTGTGCAGCATGAAGTGATGTGGTGTGGAGACTGCTGAGGCAAGGCTGCAATGGAGTGCTCTGGGTCCAGAAGGACTATCTGTTTTCTACTGCTTTTCAGAGCTAATTAAATGGGATTTAGCTTCTTTTCCCCAAGCCGGTACCACTAGGTGAGTATTGTGTTACTTAGTGATTATCTCACTCCCTAGTTCTGACCTAAAGTAGAGCACTGCATCCCCGGAACCTTGCCTTTCACGTCAGTGTTAGCATCCAGACAAAACCCATAATTCATTGTAAGAAACTGACTTTCAGAATAAATAATTTTGATGGGTTTTTTTGTCATAAAATAAGAGTGACTGGTAGTGGCAGAGGCCAGTCCTAGGCTCTCTTAATGAGAGCTAAAAGAAATAAATATGGTCTTCAGAAACACTTGTTTCTGGTAGCTGGAAATACCTACTTTCTCTCTGCTATCATTTCATATTCACATGAGGAAGCAGACCTTCCAGTCTCATGAGCTGTCAGAGAATCCAAATATATGTAGAAACTGTACTGGAGAAAGCATTTGTAGAAAGACAGGACGGAGTAGAATTTATATATTGCTGATAAGGACTGAATTGTGAGAGGCTTCTTTCTGAGGACTTGAAGGTGAGTGAGTACTTGAACCTTAGATTATTAATGCAAGGAAGTGGTCAGTACTAGTTTGCTTGGAGAGGATGATAAATACTAATATAGATTTATTTCCACCAACTACTTTTTTTCTCCTTTCCATGCTCTTTAAGTAGATCCCTTCATTTTCTAAAAAATGAGTGTAATTTTTACCATTTCAAAGTGAATACTGTAGCTGAGTACTGAGTCTTGCAGAGTAATTATATTTATTATAATATATGATATGAAAATTTAAAAAAATGTGTGAAAATGACTTTTGGGGCGTAAACTGTGTTAATATGAGATTAAGTATAATCAGATAATCTGCCCATCTTCAAAAAATTAAGCATGCAAGACTGTCTTCCTACTTGGTTGGAACATGAAAAAAGTGGTGAAAGCTATTTTCTGTCTTGGTAATTTAACAGTGCAATTACAAACACATAAAACCACGTTATCAACAGCTTTTAGAACTTTTGGTTCACAAAAAGATTTCAGTGGTCACATCTTCATGTGAAGTTGTACCCTTAACTCCTGGTATGTAAAAGGTCAAAAACACCTGCTGAGTGCTACTGTCTAAGAAATAGGTCAAGGAAGTTTCTCAAGTACAGGTATGTGTCAATCTGGGACTAAGCAAATTACATGTAGAAAAAGTTTATGTTGAGAGCAGAATCAGTAATTTGAAGGCCAAGTCTCAAACAAGTACAATATTCTGTGAGCATTTAAGAAAAATGAGCTTAAAGACTCAAAAATAGCGTAAAAGAAATGAGAACAACTTCATGATAAAGCACTGCCATTACAGTGCTGCATGTGTAAGAATCACCAAATCTCTTTCACAAAATTGTGATGTTTTAGTTGGTGGATCAGGGGTAGATTTCTTCCAAACTTGAATCAATATAGCAAACTTATTCTGCCACCTTTGTTACCAGCTCTCAGCTTGGTGGTTCTCTTAATCTCTAAAGCTTTCAAGCAGTTTCTTGTCTGACACCGTGTATGCTGTGCTGGTAGCGTGTCGACATTTTTATTCTTCGACTGCAAAGGAATGTAAAAATTACATGAAAGAAAGAAGCTGTTATGAGCACCTGACCTAGATTTGAATCCTTTTTAAAGCAAAATTGTTCACGGTCACTTTGAATATATTCGTATTTTTTGGGCTTTGTAAATCTGCTGCGGAATCACTTCTGGATGGACTGCTGAGTCTGTGTGTTAACTGATTCCTTGTAATCTCTATTAGCTTGAAGTAAACCTAAAAAAACTAATGGTGCCATTGAATGCGAATTTTCTCCCTTTATCCTGCTTATTTCTTTCAGACTGTGCTTAAAAATACTCAGCAAATATTTATTTGTCTGTGCATTTAAATGGTATGGTCACACCTTGGTGATTAGTTTGTTTTATGAGAGCAGTGGAGTGAAAGTTTTGGTTGAGACAGTGAAAGAGGGAAATTTCTGGAGCATTAGTGACCAGAGCTTATGCCTGGGGGAGGGTTCAGTATGCATCAAGACAGAATCCTGCATGGCAATTGTGGCCCAGCTTCTCCTCCAGCTCTGGCCCACCTGCACCTTCCTCTTCTGGGTATGGATCACTCAGCGGTTTCTCTCCCTCCTCCCTCTCTTTTCTTTTTTTAATTTTATTTTATTCTTCATTGTTTTTCTCAAAAAAAGGAATTTTTCCTTACATTTTCTGGCTGGTCTCTGGGGAATGTGGGAGCACAAATTATTACCATATGTTTTGTATTTTTTTGTAAATTTTATAACAGTGTGGAACAAAATCCTGTTTTCATATATCCAAATACCCACAGGAAACTGATCTATGTTTTATTATTAAGAATATGTGCATTACATATGAAATTAATGTGTTCTTGGTGTTCTTCCTTCTCTTTAAAAATATAGTGTCTCTAACTAGTTTCCACTCAGAGGAAAACTAATAAAGCGCCATAGGTTCTGAGATGCGGGTGCATTAGGGTTTCTTTGGTTTGCTTGCTGTGTGGTTTTTTGTTTTCTTCTTCCCAATGTGTTTCTGTATCTGGCCTGTTTTGGGACTATGGCGAAAGGTTTAAGACTATATATATATATTATGTGAGCTTTTTGTGGTAACATTCAAAAAAACCAACACAACAAACCCCCCGCTAAGAGGTGCCTCAAGAGGCAGAATTCTTGCACCTATTTAGCACAAATTACACCTTTATCTTGCAATAATTTTATAGACTCCTCTTTCTCCGAGGATTCACAGTGCCAGACAACCAAACCAGACAGTAACATAAATACTGTTTCACTTGCTGCTTTTGTGTATAGCACGTGATTATGTGGAGGGACTGTTTATGTCAAAACTGAAAGGCGAAGAAATATTGTCATGTTTAAAATTTCAGAAGGCACCTTATTCTTAGTGGTAACAGTGTGATGCTTAAAAGAATTCTGTTTGCTTGGGCTTATGCGCTCAGCTTTTGCATTCAGATGTTTTGTTAGGCGGTCTCAGTGCTTGGTTTTCTTTCACAGCAATCATTTTGTAGTACTCACAGGTGATGAAAATAACTTACGTGTCTAAAATGAAAAATAACCTCGTTGATGTTATAAAGTCTGCTTTATTTGGATCATGTTTTCCTAAATGCGTGTTAAGTTATTGAAGTGCGGATTGCTTGCTGTATCAACGGAGCCTTCCATTGAAAAAGGGGGATCTGATTATATCTGAAATGCGGATTTGAAAAGTATGCGATACATAAAGGCTGGAACCGAATATTGAACAAAGAGTTGAGGATTCACAGAAGAAAAATCCATCAGTGATTTGTAAGAGAGCGGTGTTTCTGGCTCACGATGTTTTTGAGATGCCGTGGATCACTGAATGGTGACACCATGCCCTTATGCTTTCCTTGGCAACATTCCTTAGTCCCTCTCACAGTACTGGGTTACACCACCTTTTACTAGATAAAGCTGTTCTGCTTTGTACCCTGCATACTTTGAACAAAAAGAGGCCATATCTGGAGGAAAAATTATTATGTAAAGATTGTATTATAATCTGGAGAGGTGCATGTACGTACATGGATCAAGTCCTTCACTTAATGCAGCAGCAGCAGCAACCTCAGGATGTTCCAAATCTCTTCTGCTTGGGGGGCCTGACGGCACATGTACCCAAATCATTATCTTTTAATACTGTTTTACCAGGATGATTCTCTAACAGGTTATAACCAGTGACCAACATGGTAGTATTTTTTTGCAGCCCCCTATAAGGCCCCTGCTCCCTTCATATTAGATATGCTGTGTTTAAATTACAAACAAAATCACAACAGTGGTCAGACTATATACTATGCTATATTAGTAGGATAGCTTTCAGGATAGGTATGTTCATTTTAAACAGCAGAAATGTTACCTTAAACTCCCAGGGAAGCTCGTATCAGGGATTCATAAAAAAAGCTCTGGAAAATATAGGTACTTGACTGTGCCATTGAACACCTAAATCTAACTCTTTGGTATTGGTTGAAGTGAATGTGAGATAAATGGGGGAATTTGACTGGCACTGTAACAGCCAGTATTATATACGAACCTACTGTGCTCGGAGATTACAAAGCTTAGAATTCTTGCTTTGTAGTTTGGTAATGAAGCTGATAGAGAACGATGGAGATACTAATAATTATCAAGCGGTGATGAAAACTTGCCTGGCTAAGGAGAACTTTTCCTTTCCTTGCTGTTTACTGTGTCTTTTTTAGTGACTTGATGAAGTAAGTGCATGCTTATGGAAGGTAGGCCAAGCTGCATTTAAAAGCAATTCTCCTTGAAGTAACAAAGCGATTCATTCCATATTAGCTTGCTCTCAGCTACACGCAGGAAGGAGCTACAGGAGGAAGAGAACGTTTCTGCACAGATCATTGCCCAAATGATCTACTTGATCCTGCATGCTTACTTGTACAATTAATTTGAGTGAATACCTTGAAATACTTTATTGGCTCTATACCAGTTTTTAGTCCACTTATATATCACCTCTTGATTTTGACTGATGAGTAAATGCACTGAATTCACTGGAGGTGCAGCTGATGAATATTTATCAAGTAGCAAAACATTTTTAGGGCAGAAGCATTTGCTTTTGAAACATGCAAGCAAGTAGCCATAGTTGTTTCCAAACTGCATAGCGTCTATCATCTATTGCTGTTCAATTGATTGTTTGAGCTGAATACTATTTGTATAAAGTAAATTGAGAAATTATAATATTTAGAAGTAATACTTTAATTAGTAAAATCTATGTTCTTGAGAGTAATTGTTTAACAACATTTTGATTTTAATTAGCAGTTATATTATTCTGTCTTTTGTGCTACAATAATTAATACATTACTAACTCTGTTGGCACAGATAGAAGAAAATAATTACTTTATATTTTCATGCCTATAAAAAGATGAAATTCATTAAGCTTACCATTAGAATAATTTTTACAGGGTTTTGGGTAACTAATATTCTGGTTTATTTTCCTTGTTAAAAAAAATTATAAAAGGATGATAAATTTCTAAGAAGTTGCATACAGAAAAATTACATGACTTAATGCAACT